TGAATTGGAGTTTAAAAATTTCTTCCTTTTTGCTGCCACAAAGCAAAAATCAAAGAGAGTAGAGGAGAAGCTTGCACAAAGATACTCATAGGAACTCAGCACTAAATTGCTTGATAAATTGGCTTTGGCATTATATTTGATAGTATATCTTGGATTTGGAATGCTTAAATCTGCATCAATTAGTAATGCAGAGGATGATAACAATAAAATAATCATGAATGCCCTTCAAAGAAACAATAATATCTAAAATTAAATTTTAAATTCAACCCTTGTACAAATATGCCAAAATGCTAAGCCAGATGTAACCAAAATGTGACAAGATTTTAGTTCTTGTTTCATTATTTAATGATTTATTCTTTTTTTCTTTTAGTTGTGTTGTTGTTGTTGGTTGTTGTTGTTGTGCCTCTGCTGCAGAATCTTTAAGCATCTAATAACATATTCCCTAGAATGGTTACTAACCTCGAAGCATCAAAACCAACAACTGGATGCCTGATCTATCCTTATCTAGTCTAACATGACTTGTATTTGATGCATTTGCATAAAGAAGAAAGAATGACAACATTGAAAATTAATTTAGATGTAATGCTGAGCCAGATTTAATCAAAATATTGAATATTTGAAGTATCTTGCTTCATCTTCTGGATGATCAAATCTATTTGATCCTTCTGGTATTTTTTTCAGAGTCTGTTGAATAATTTAATGGCATTCCCAAGAAAGGGCAATGACTTTACAATCTCAAAACCAACAGATGAAATGATTGTATGCTGATGTGATCTTAAAGCAGTGCTTGGTGTAAAACTGATAGTTTGTGCATAAGTATTAGGGTAAATGGTTGTTAGATTTAATCTTGGTAATGTTCATTGTGGTATCTAAATTCAATAACGATTCAATTATATTGAACATTCACTAGTTAGGGTGCAGCTCAATGAATATTGCAGATTTTAGGATCACCTTGATGGTTTTTCCTTCAGTTTCTTTAATTGGTTTCTCTACTGGTGCAGCGTATTCAAATTGATGGAATTAGAAAAGACACATGGTTTTGCAAACATTATGTGCCTGTCAGACATAAAGAAGAACAAGAAGTGAATTTGGATGATGTCTGTGCGGTTTTTGATGACATTGAGGTTGGGCTTTTATTCTTTTGTTCTTTGTATGGCAATTGCTCCTTTCTAACATAATAGATCTTCTAAATGCAAGTTGCCAGATATCATTGTTAAAGTTGCCATGGAGTTAATGGTTTTACCAAAGTTTTAGCTCATTACACTTACCTTGATTTCTCTCCACTGAGTTGCTACTGATATATTGCAGGATAAATATGTTGCTGAGCAGTCTGAAAATAATGAGGGAGGTCCTCTAATAATGAACGCATTTGAGATGATAACCCTATCGCAGGGGTTGAATCTATCAGCATTGTTTGATAGGCAACAGGTATGATGACAAGTCTGTATTTCTGCAGCCAGATTCACCTGTGAAGAGAATTTAACCCACTATGGACAAACCCTTTCTTCTTGCTATAATATTACCATTCTGCTGTATGTCTAAATCTTACTCTGATCTGGGGTTGTTGGTTCTTGTACCTTTCTTGGTTGGACCCACTGCTTTAATGTAAAAATTTAGAAATAAAATCTTAACTCATCTTCCATTCCCTGATATCTTTCTCTTGATGTCTTTACTTTGGCAGGATTTTATAAAACGACAAACTCGTTTTGTATCACAGAAACCTGCAAAAGTTATAATCTCATCAATTGAAGCTGTTGCAGAATCAATGGGTCTCAAAGTGCATACACGTAATTACAAGGTGTGACTTGAGCTTATACTATTTTTATTTTCTTGATAAGATGCTTCTCTCTCATTAATGGGGCTCCCAACATGGAATCGTTGAGATATTGTCTTTATCATGTTCATAGTTTCATTGATCCCTGATTGAGATATATTATTGTTTTCACACCAACACCATGATATATTTCAAAAGGAAGCAGAACTGATTTTTCTACTTGTTACCCAGATTCATAAGTAAATGCAGTTTTATTGCATCAGTTTGATTTATGACTTTTAACTGCATAATTCTTATTATAGCTGTTAGTTAAAGTGTTAAATAATAAATAGTTGCATGCCTCAAAGACTTTTGCACTTGGTGGTGCAAGGCTATCTGTTGGGCACAGATAGCCACCAAGAAGTGCTAATTACTGAAACGTGGCAACAATAAACCATCACATTAACCAGTTTTGCTGCAGAGTACATAAAAAATGGTTTAGTAATACTAGTCACTCTCCAAAACTAGCAGGGGAGAGAATGCTCTCCGCCATCTGTGGAAATATATTTTTTCTGCCTTTGGGTGATAACGAAAATCGTTGCAAAAGGTTAAATTAGATATTTAGGTCTCATTTGTCTTCTTATTTTTCAAACAATGTTAATGGTACTGGGTCACTCTATTTTTGATTGGTTGATGGTTTTTGTCAACCTTTAATTCTTTACTCTCTTTAGATTCTGATCCTATTTTCATAAGAACTCTAAAAATTTCTCTTCCACTTTTAGATCTTTCAACATAACCCCTTCATTGATCTATTACCAATTTTCAATTTCTCTCTTCCCCTTTGAGTTTATTCTTTTTCTTCTAACTGCAGACAAGGCTTGAAGGGACATCTGCAATTAGGGCTGGACAATTTGCAGTTGTACTGGAGGTAACACCTCCCCGAATTAATTCTTTTTTGAGCCATTGTTCCATTCTCCATAAGCAAACTTTTGTTTGTGTGTGACCTGTGTTTTAAAATCATTTTTCTCACATACAGGTTTATGAAGTTGCACCCTCCTTTTTCATGGTAGATGTTCGAAAGGCTACAGGAGATACTCTTGAATATCACAAGGTTAGTTTATCCCAATTTGTATCGTAAACATGTTCTTCAGACTTATTCAAACTTTATATACACTGCCTTATCTTTTGCATCAATTATAGAAATTGGTATTACCCCTTAGGATTTCGGATTTCAGATTTCGGATTTCCACATGGTCTAGCTTTTATTGATAGTATCCTGTGAGAGAAAGTATTTGGATTTCAATTAGAAAATGTTTCTTTATCCAAACAAGGTTGTTTTCTCGAATATAAAGATTCATTTTGTCTTCTCCAATCTGGTGGATCATAAAATATAGTGAGATAGCATCTAAAATTGCTCTTCATTTATCAATAATCAACAGACCCTTCCTTTTTTGTTTATAGTAGGAACAAATAATGCCCTTCTTTTATGTTGTTAAACTATATTAATTTATTTCTTATGCTCCTTTTTGGCAGTTCTACAAGAATTTCTGTTTGAAGCTAGATAATATTATATGGAAACCGACAGGACGTCTTGCCAATCCTAATCTGCTTAGAACTATGACTTGCTGATCTTTTCCTGGATATGATGCAAATCAGCTCGCAGATGATGTTCCTCTGGTAAACCTAATATAATTTTGTCTTTGGTTTTTGCTCTTCTTTTTTCCAATTTCTTCTTCCGAGACTTGATAAAGTCCTTTACTCTTGTATTTATATAATTTTGTAACACAAAGAAATCACAAGTTCATAAGATGATTTTATCAAGTGTGATAGGGAGAAAGTGAAAAAAAAAAAGTGTGATATGGGGAAATGAAGATCATTCCGTATAGCAATATCCCCTTTCCAGATTGTTAACAATTTGTTTACTACATCCTTTGCCTGTCTGCTGTTACTGTTATAGATATGGCTGCATCTTTTTGCTTAGAGGTTCAGCATAATTTCCATTTGCCTCACCCCAATTAAGGCTACAGTAAGCAAGAGGACAAATAAACGAAAAAAAGGACTCGAGCGAGCAGAGAGCCAGAAACTGATCCAAGGCTATTATTAGCCCAGCAGGGCTACCCTCTAGCCATGTGGGTTGCATTCTACCCGCAGGCCACATTTAATAGCCTTCTGAATCCTGATTTTTATTTTTTTTTTATGCGCGTGATGATATAAGATCAAGTTAGAGTTATGGAGTTTATCCGTATTGTATTGCATAACTGAATTTATTAAATAGAAAGGGATATTTTGATATTTGGGATTATTTTTTATTTAATAATTTATATTTTATAATTTAATATAATATAAATTATGAAACAAAAAATTTATATATAAGATATAGAACGCAGTTTTATTGGGCAAAGATATGATTACCAAATTTTGTAAAATATTGTATTTAAAAAAATTAATTTTATTTATTTAATTAAAAATATTATTTATTTTATTAATGATTAATTAATAATTATTTTTATTAATTATTTTTATCAATTAAACTAAATAAAATTATTAATTTTAAAGATAATGTTTTATAAAATTTAATGACTATAACATTAAAAATGGGGGCCGGATCCTTGACCGCCTTGGCTCTTCTCAGTCTTTTTACGAAATCTTCAACACGAATGACTAGACTCTTAATCATTCGGAGGGTTTTAGGGAACAGGAACGGTAGTGTATGCTATTGTTGTTGATTCCGGTCATTCAGCCTTTCAGCAATGGGTGTTAAAATAAAGATGCCCTTTGGCATTCCAAAGACTAGGATGAGGAAATTTTGAGGTTAGCCTGGGAGGCTTAAAGTTTTTAGTTTTTCCTCAGCCAAACAGTATAAATCCTCAAATTATGTAAACATTATCTTAAAACCTAAGCTTCCCCTTCTTCTGGTAATCTTGTTGACTTCTTTGCTCTCCTCCTGTGGCTGCAACAGCTATTGTTTAACTACTGTTTTGATTGGCGTAGTTTTTGAAACAGGTTACATCCCAGAAAAAGTAAAACTAGATCAAAAATGATTTACAAACATTAACATTTAACACTTCCACTTAAAAGAATTTTGTCTAACTTTAAAAGAATTTAGAAAAAAGTATTCTTCATTTCAGATAATGCATAAAAATTTATTTGTAAAAATTTTAATTTTTTAAAATAAAATGAATGAATTTTGTTTTCATTTAAACCAAATCTACTCAAAATTTTTAAAACATAAGAATTCACTTACAAACTAATTTATTTAGGAATTTATTTAAGAATTTATTTAGAAATTCAATGAGTTCTAATCTATTTGCATACCAAATGAAGAGTAAATGAAAATGTACAGTTACATTTCCTATTGTTTCAATTCCCTCCATCCATTATTTGTTCTTTTTTTTCCTTTTTCTTTTTCTTTTTTTTTTTGTTTGCATCTTTTGTTGTAAATTGATTGTCGTCCTAACAGTTCCATGGTGAGTGTGTTTGTTTGTTTGTTTTTTTTTTTTTTTTGTGTGTATAATATGAGTATTTGGGGTTTTTTATTGATTGGCATCTAGGTTTTTAACATGATTAATTTTATGAGTACTTTTAAGTTTTAGCACCTCTTATTCACATGTATCAAGTCTTATTTTAACATATCTAATTAAAATTATTTACACTAATAACTTATTGTTTTAAATTAAAGGAATTTGATTTCCTTAAATAAAATTTTAAATTAAAGTTTTATAAATGTTTCAAAATGTGACTTTTAGATATTGAGAGTTTTTATTAAAAAAATTAAAATTATTTACACCTAAATAATAATAGAGATTTGAACCTATATTTTCAAATATAGTTTTAAAAAAATTTTCTTAAACATAATTTGAATCTATCCCTAAGGGATAGATTCAAAAATTTTCTCAAATATAGTTTTAAAAAATTTTAGAAGTTTTTTTTTTAGTAAATACTAAATAAGAGAATTGTATGTCAATATAAATTAATAATATCAAATTTGTTATTGATACAGTGTGTAACTTGTAAGAGGAACACAATCTGAAAGATAATAAGGCCAATAGAGAGGTCCCTCTTATGGGGACCAGGCCTTTCTTTCTTGTCTTGTCTTGGACAATAACGACATCCCTAGTGGGTGATCAATCAATCAAAAACCATGCTCGTCCTTTTAAGTCGTGGCAATAAAAGCAAGCGTCCCATTTTACCATAAAAATTATAGTAAGGGATGACTAATTAAAATATTCTCGTTTTAATGGATAATAATTTGTAAATTTTGATTTTTAAGTTAAATATTTTCTTTTAAACAAGGTGAAAAGTGATTTGAAAAAGAAAGAAAGCTATTTCATTCTATGTGTTATATTATCATTATCATATATTGTATGAAAACATGATAATAAAAAAAAATAAAAAGAGAAAAACAAATGGAATGATAAAACAAGGTTTGGCTATATGTGACAAATAAAGGATGGAGTACTTCAGCCTTTTATAATCTTGAAAGAGAGCCAAAATAGCAAGTAAGAGTCTTTCAATAATATCAAGAACGGCAGAAGGTGCAATTGAGCTCCTTTACTTTAAGTGTTGTGGTAGATCAGCCCCTCTACTAAGAAGTAGTGTAAATCAAACCCTCTAGAAGTGGAAACCCGCAAATAAACCCTTTTGTTAATGATGACGTTAGAGAATGTTATCTTTCCGTCACCCGCTCTGATACTCTGTTTAAAAAAGATGACTTGGCGCTGACTTGAACTTAGACTTGGACCGACAACCATTATAAACTACTTTTTCTTTCGATTGTTACCTATTGTTCAACAGGTGGTTGTAGCATATTCAAAATGGACAAGTTTGAATTTGATTTTTTGAACCCCAAGAACGAAACAAAAGGAGATTTTCCAACAATGGTTCCAAGAGTTGTGTAATAAAAGGTATTTTTTATAATTACAGTTATCTGTTTGTTGTTGTTTCTTTAGATTTTGTTAGGTAGTTGGCTGTGTTTATAAACTCTGAATTTGATTTTCTTTATTGATTAATTTGGATTTGGCGAATTCAAGAAAAAAAAAAAAAGTACTGCTTATGAATTAAAATAGGGTGATGATTTTTGTACATTAATTGTTTGATGAAATGTCACAAAAAAATAACTGATAACAAAACTCTGAACAGTGTAAATCAAAAACTAAAATATTAAGACAATCTATTAAAAGTTGGGTCAAAATTATGAAAACCAATTTAATCCCATTAAAAAAAAAAAGTAAAGCAAGAATACTAGTAAGAGAATATGCAGCACTGTCAACGTCGTTTCATCTTCACCCATTCATTCGGCTTGATTAGCAGCGATCAAAGACTATCGAGAGAAATAGAGGTGATGAAATGAGGGAGAGATGAGGAGAAGGGGAATGAAGGACTAAAATCCTACTGCTTCGTTGACTAGGGGACCAAGTAAAATCCCGCCCAGTACTTCAAAAAGAAGTTTTTTTTTTTTTTTTTTTTTTTCAAGAAGAAGCTTTTACAGGATTATGGACTTTAATTTGTTTTCTATTTCGTGCATTTCATTTCACAGCTATCTAATATCGGTTGGTAAGAGTTGCTTGTTGTTTTCTTTTTTGGGTATATATTTGTTCACATTTGGTATGGATTACTATTCTTATTTTCAATTTAGGGTCTATTTGATTCATAAAAAATACTTTTATTTTAAAAAATATTTTTCATGAAAAAAATTTTTTAAAATTATTTTTTGATATGTAAAACACTTTAAAAATCTTTTTTTTTATATTTTTTTATTTGATAAATTACGAAAAATCTTTAACCAAATAGCATAATACATTTTTTAAAGTTTTTGTTATGCACGTGTTGCCCGAATACTA